TCATCCCAAAGACCCCCAAGTTCCCCCTTTACCATCACCTCCGACCCAAACCCCTTCTTGATGCCACCTTCAAGCCATGGTGCCATCAAACCCACCTAACGATGAATCCCTCCCCTAAAATCACAGCAATTTGGGTCCAAATGAGGCCAAATGGCAGCGATTTCGCCATTCCCACCTTCTGGATGTTCTTAGAGCGGCTGGTTGCCCCCCATCACTCAACATCTGATGGGGGTTCCATCCAAAACGTCTCAATTCGGGCTTGGGATGGAGGAATTGGACCCATTTAGGACTTCTTTTCGGTGGGTGAAGGCACCTCAGACATTTTTGGCTTAGAGGGAACAACCCAGCATGCCCCAAAGGACCCATAGTGCTTACCTTTGGGCTTCTTTCTGCTTCAGCACCTCTTTGCTCTCCCAAAGACCATGGATCTGTGAGGTTGGATGAAGGGAAACTGTCGGCTTGATCCCAAAACTTCCCTTTTTATGACCCAATGGGGCTTATCTCATGGAGCTGTCACAGGGACCTCTGATAGGAGAAGGAATGGGGTCCAAAAAGGGCTGGATTTGGGCACATCTCATGGGTAGGAGGTGGGGTTGGGGCTTTGGAGGCCAAAAGAGGTTGGACTTCCAGAGACCTGGAGTTAACGGCGCGCATGGTGGAGCCAGAGGACATGGGAAAGGTGGAGCTGGATTCCTTCAGCTCCAGTGCTTTCCTTGTGGGAAGGATGCTGAGGAGGTTGTGATTGGTGATGTGATCCATAGGGAACGTTGGGATGGGTGATGCGATCCCATAGGGAATGTTGGGGTGCATGCAGGGACATTGCGATGGATGCAGGACCCCCATAGGGACATTGTGATGGGTGCAGGACCCCCATTGTGATGGGTGCAGGACCCCATGCCTCACATCCCCAGCTGCCTCCCACTACCATTGCAAGGTCCCCACCACCAAGACCCCCCCCAAACCTCCTCCAAACGTACTTGGATCATGTTCTTCCCATTGGCCCCCCCTGTTTGAGGCCTCCAAGGGACGGTGGGGATGGAATGGGGTTGATTAATGAGGATCTTCCTTGTGGGAAGCCTGGAGAACGTCAAGGCCCAGCTTGTGTGTCCATGCCAAGAGCTTATCTAAGGGCTCATTAAACATCTGGATGGAGCCAGATGTCTCCCATGACCTTCTGGAGGCCTCAGATGGGCTCTTGAACCCTGGATGGACAGGAAGTTGGCAGATTCCCTTGTGTTTATGGGCCTTGATCCTGATGGGATGGGTTTCCTCATGGTGGGATGGGTTTTCCTCATGGTGGGATGGGTTTTCCTCATGGTGGGATGGGTTTTCCTCATGGTGGGATGGGTTTCCCTCATGGTGGGATGGGTTTCCTCATGGTGGGATGGGTTTTCCTCATGGTGGGATGGGTTTTCCTCATGGTGGGATGGGTCCTGGAGATCTTCAGGTTAAAAGAAGGGACAGGATGTGACCCCAAACCCATTTCTTGCTGTCTGAGCTCCACTTCCCTTCTTTCCCTTGGGACATCAAGCCACAGCAAGGACAGCCAGGTAGGACATTTGATTTCCATCTTCTCCCTTGGAATTCCAAGGGTTGGAGCGGACCCTCCTTCTCCCTATGGCTTCAAATAGCAGGAATTGGGCTGAAATGAAATTCCCTTGGGAAATGGGATATTTCATGGAATTATGGAACGGGTTCAGCTTAGAAGGGCCTTGAAGCTCATCCAGTTCCAACCAAGGGACATGGACCAAGCCCCATCCAACCTGGCCTTGAACCCTTCCAAACCTTCTCCAGTCAACCCATTCTGATGTCCCACCACCCTCCTGGTGAAAAACTTCCTTCGATCCCATCCAACTCTTCTCTTTTCCAGTCGGAAGCTGTTCCTCACCCTCCCATTGGAGAAGCCCCTCATTTTGGAGCTGTTGGGATGAAGGCCTCATTCCATGTCCTGCTCCTGCTCTTAGGTAGGTTGGAAGGAGACATCTGCTGAGGATGCTCCAGTCCTAGGTGATGGTTGCTCCTCTTTCCCTTCCATGTCTTCTCCAGGAGCTGTGGGGAGCGTCCAAGCAGCAGAAGACAAAGGTGGGTCCTCACACCATTCAAAGATGGGCTTTTCCACCCAAAATGGGCTTGTTTCTGCTTCATTTTGGGACGTGGGATGGGAAAGGAGCTTCCAAATGGGAATACGGACGTTGGGGGTCCTCTTCTTGCCCTCAAATCCGTGTCTACCCCACTTGCACCCCAATCTTTGGCCACCATGGAGAAGTCAACCCCATCTGACCCACTTGGTCAACCCCACATGGAGCTCAGGCCCCATTTAAGACCAAGCTGGTGGGTTGCACCCCAAAGTCCATGGGATGGGTTTGGGATGTCCATCAATAGCTCAACCTCTGTGTTCCTCCAGCATCTCTGCTCTACCCCTATGGTCTGGAGCAACAAGACCAGAAGAACCCCAAACTGGATGATGGGACATCAGAGGTCACCCTCACTGTGCCCTTCACCTTCTATGGCCAGGAGCACCAAACCCTCTATGTACGTGAGTCAAGATCTCACCCCTTCCATGAAGACCTTTCATTTTCCCATTCCCACCTTTCCTTCTGCTCCATTTCATCCCTTTGCCCCCCATTTGGTCCCATTTCTGGTGTATCCAAGTGTCCTCCTATGGCTGGTGGGTCTTAGGAGAAGACCTTCTCCCATAGAGGAGGCCACATTTAGGGATGGAGCAATGGTGCCCTCAGGCATGGTCACGGAGATGCAGAGGACAATGGCAAGAGCACATCTGGATCCCAGCTCCATGCTACCATAGCCAAGGTGGTGGTGGGGCTCCAATGGAGGTTGGGGTTGACCTGATGTCTTCTCCAGGTCAACAACAACGGGGTGATCTCCTTTGACACTCGGGTCAACCAATACACCCCAGACCCCTTTCCGTTGGCTGATGGACGCCCCTTTGTGGCCCCATACTGGGCAGATGTGGACAACGTGCTTGGAGGAGATGTCTTCTACCGACAGACCACTGACCCAGCACTGCTGGCCCTCATCACCAACGACATCAACCAGTACTTCCCCACCATCCCCTACACGGCCACATGGGCTCTGGTGGCCACTTGGGACCATGTGGCCTACTATGGCTCTACCACCAACAAGGTAAGGTCCACAGGTATGACTTGAAGGGCAGATGAGACCCATGTATTGACCTCACCCCCATAGGAAAGAAGCTGTGGTGGAACCCATCTGCTGGTAGACACCAAAAGAACCAGCTTGGATGCCCCATTCCTCACCAAGAGAACTTCCTTAGCACCCCTCAGAGCTAAACCCCATCCCTATCTCCTCATCCCACCACGTCTGGTGTCCATCTCCCCCTTCCTTTCTGCAGGGCAACACCTTCCAAGCCATCCTCACCACCGACACCAAGAGGTCCTTCATCATCCTCAACTACTGGGATATCCAATGGACTACAGGGGCAGCAAGCGATGGGGACCCTGAAACGGGGCTTGGTGGGACTCCAGCCCATGTATGTTGGGAAAGGAGGAGGACATGGGATGGGGTTGGGAATGGGGGAGAAGGTCGATGCCATCTTTGACCCATCCTTGTAGAGGACAATGCCCAAATAGGTTGGCCCATGAGGTTTCTGGGTGACCCCACCAGGTCCAATGGAGACTGGAGGTGCCCCATAACATGTACTGGGCCACCACCACCAACAGGAGGCTGTCCCATGCCATGGGTGGGATTCACCTCCCTTTTTGGCCTCCTTTCCAGGCTGGCTTCAACAGTGGAGATGACACCAACTTCTACAACATCCCTGGCTCCCAAACGGAAGCCATCATCAACATCACCAAGACCTCCAATGTCAACGTCCCAGGGCGATGGGTCTTCCAAGTGGATGACTTCAAGGTGACCGGGGTGCCTACTGAGGTGCCCAAGGTCTCCAAGAGCAACAACTGCTGGTTGTAAGGTGGGTTTTGGGGTCAAAACCTGGGAAAAAGGGACAATTGAGACAATTTTCCTCCTCTTGAGGTCTTGGTTTCTTCCAACAGCTCCATCAAATCCATTGGGCCAGAGGAACCCTTTGGTGTCCCCACCATGCATAGGATGAAGGTGACGCAATGGGATGCATCAACCTCCACTAGAGCAATAAAACTCCGTTCGGGACACGGTGGCTCCTGGGTCCTCATCACTTCCAACTTGTGGCCATGGGATCTGGGGGGGAGCTGGACAACGTGGGTGGAAATAACCCATTTTGGGCCATTTTGTGCTCAAATCCCTGATTTTCCCCTTTCTTTATGCTCAAATTGATGATTTTCCTCCTTCTTTGTGCTCAAATTTCTGATTTTTCACCTTTTTTGCACCCAAATTTAAGGGTTATTTTTGGTGCCAAAATGACTCATTTGAAGGGGAAAATCCACATATTCCAGGAAAAACATACCCAAAATCCCCCAAACTGGGAGTTTTTTTCCCCTAAAATGGAACTTTTTAACCCCCAAAAGTGGGGTTTTACATATAGCCCCCATATGTTGCATCCACAACACGCTCCAACATGCCTGCAACATGCAACCCCCCCAGCATGTCACATACAACCTACAAACAACCCCAACCCCCCCCCCCCCCCCCCATTTCAAATGGGATAATTTGGGAATATCCCACCCCTTTTTCCCCCTTTTCAGCCTCATTTTAGCATCAAACCCCCCCCGATCTCCCCCCCTCCCCTTGTGATTTTGGACCATTCCAACCCATCCAGGACCCCCCCCCCCCTTCAATCCCTATATAGGAATTCCGGGAATTCCGCTGCTTTTTAGCCCTTGGCTGCTGCCTCGGGTGGGTTTGAACCAAACCCCAGCTTTTTTAACCCATTCTGGCAGCCAAAAGTGATGTCAAGGCAGCGGGTGGGTGGGTCGGTCCCTGGGGGTCCTTGGTGTTTGTCCCGGCTTAGAGGGATATCAGATCCCAAAACGTGAATCCAAGGAAGAGCAGGAGGGCTGAAAGGGGAGCCGGGATCGGGATTTGGGGCTAAGGCGGTGGATTTTGGGGCTGGAAGCAAGGTAAAGCTCCAGATGGGGTTAAAACCGGGAGGGATTTGGCGGCGATGGGTGAAAGGACGGGAATGGAGCCAGGAAATTCCTTAAGTATTCCACAGCCCCACACAGAGAGCCCTGATTGTGGCTGGAATTGGCTGCTTGGGAAGGGATTGGGGGGGGGGGAAAGGGGGGAAAAAGGGGGAAAAAGGGGAAAAAGGGAAGAGAAAAGGGGGAGGAAAGGGAATGGGGTGGGAAAGGGAAGGGAAGGGAAAAGAGGGGGGAAAAGAGGAGGAAAGGGATGAAGGGGGAAAGGGGGAAGAAGGAGAGGGAAGGGGAAAGGGAGGGAGGGAATAGGGTGGGAAAAGGGGGAAAGGGAAGGGAAGATGAGGGGAAAAGGGGAGGAAAGGGGATGAAAGGGAAAAGAGAGAAGAAGGGAATGGAGGGGAGGGAATAGGGTGGGAAAAGGGGAAAAGAGAGGGGAAAATAGGGGAAGAAGGGGAGGAAAGGGATAAAGGGGGAAGGGGAAAGGGGGAAGAAGGGAAGGAAAAGGGGAAAATAGGGAGGAAAAGGAAAAAGTGGGAATGGGAGAAGAAAGGGGGAACTGGGGGGAAAGAGGGAAAAAATGGGCAAAATAAGCAAGGGAAAAGGGAAGCAGCCACATGGGGACGAGTCCACATGTGCCACCACAGCCAGGATCAGAACCTCAAGCCTTAGGGCAAAGAGAAGTCCCATTTTGGGTATAAAACAAAGGATTTGACCATTTTCTCCTCTTCTGCAGCAGCAGAACCATGGCCAGGGGTGAAGGTGATGTCCTGAGGGGCTGCACCAGCATGCTCTGGGGTGAGTTCAATGATCAATGCTCATTGGGTCAATGTCCATCAGGTCAATGCCCATCAGATCAATGCCCAATGGGTCAAGGTCCATCAGATCAATGCCCACCAGATCAATGTCCATCAGGTCAGTGTCCATCAGATCAATGTCCATCAGATCAATGCCCATCAGATCAATGCCCAATGGGTCAAGGTCCATCAGATCAATGCCCACCAGATCAATGTCCATCAGGTCAGTGTCCATCAGATCAATAGCCATCAAATCAATGTCCATCGAACCAAAGCCCATCAAATCAATTACCCATCAAATCAAAGCCAGTCAAAGATCAATTGTCCACCTCAAGCCCACCTTGAGCCCCATTCCCCACCCTTGCCCTTACGGGTGATGAAGACCCCAAGGGCCAATTCTCCTCTTGCAGGGCTGCTTTGGTTGCTCAGCGCCTCTGCCTCCACCCCACCTCACCTTGGCGAAGACTTCGTGGTGGCCTTCATGCAGAACGGGCTGCAGCAGACCCTCAACAGCGACTTCAAGCTGCTCCTCACCGGTTACTCCCCCTTTACCTCCGTCACCATCTCCATGAAGAGGCCGGGTTTGAGGATGACGGTGCAGGCCACCACGGGCCAAACCATCCTGGTGAAGATCCCCCCCCAAGCCGAGATGGTTGGGAGCAAAGCCTTCGACAACACCGTGGTGGTGAAGGCCACCAACGCCGTCTCCTTGGTCATGGTCAACGAGAAGCCCACCTCGGTGGACTCCACCGCGGTGCACCCGGTGCACGCTTGGGGCACCGAGTACCACGTTGTGACCCCCAACGTGGGCACCGACCGCTACGGGGAGTTCGTGGTGGTCTCTTGGGATGAAGCCACCGTGGTTGACATCCACCTCAAAGCCACCGTGACCTACCAAGGCCGGACATACCCTCGGGGCTCAGTTCTTGCCATCAAACTGGAGCCTTTCCAAGCAGCCCAACTCCAAAGCCCATCTGATATGTCCGGCACCAGGATCATGGCCCATAAACCTGTGGCTGTCTTCACCGGTCACACTTGCTTGGCCAGGTTCACCCAATGCGACCATTTGGTGGAGCAGCTCCAACCCGTTTCTAGCTGGGGAACCACCTTCATTGTGCCCCCATTGCCCTTTGAGACCCAAGCAGACATCATCTACGTGTCCACCTCACAGAAGACCCGTGTGGAGTCTCAACACGGGGTCTCCAAAGAGGTCCGGGAGCTACGGCCAAGCAGGTCAACGCTCTACGGTCTCCAAGCCTTTAACACCTTGTACCTGTCGGCCAGTGCTGGCATCCAGGTCATCTTCTTTGCCGATGGAGGTACCAAGGAGTCCATCTCTTATGACCCCTTCTTCATGACCATCCCAGATGTCTCCAGCTACTGTCACTCCTACAGCGTCATCGCTCTGGATGGGTATGAGAACTACGCCCTGCTCATAGCCAAGACCTCGGAGACGTCCTCAATGATGCTCAACAAGAGCCCCTTGAGGAACATCATGTGGAAGAAGGTCCCAGGGACCGACTACTCCTGGGCTGAGCAGAGCTTGGGCAGCCAGTTCTCGGTCCATACGGTGGAGAATGAGGTGTCCCCCTTCGGGTTGCTGAGTGTGGGCATCCGGGAGCAGAAAGCCTACGGGTCGGCGGCTGTTTGTGACAGTGGTGAGTGTCCCATGGCCACCTTCTTCACCTCCTCTCTGCTTCCTTTAGGTGGCCAAACCCACCTGAGATAGGTTATGATCCATGAATGCTCCGTAGGTTAATGGTCTATCAATGGAAGGAGCCTCAAGTGGTCAAGCCATATGGTCAAGCCCAAGCCCTGGAGGTGCCGGTTGACCACCTATGGTGATGGTGGCCCCAAGTGGTCAACCCGTATGGTCAAGCCCAAGCCCTGAAGGTGCTGGTTGACCACCTATGGTGATGGTGGCCACAAGTGGTCAACCCATATGGTCAAGCCCAAGCCCTGGAGGTGCTGGTTGACCACCTGTGGTGATGGTGATGGTGATGCTGTCCCTGTCCCTCTCCCCATGGACCATTCCATGTGTGGTTCCTTCTAGATCCCTGCCGGCTCCTGAAGTGCCGCACAAAGGAGACCTGCAAGTTGGAGAAGGGGGTGGCCACCTGCATCCATGACTACATGGGCACCTGCATGGGCTCACAGGCCTTGCAGTACCACACCTTTGATGGGATGACCATGGACATCCGTGGTGGTTGCACCTACACCATTGCCAAGTCCTGTGGCAACGATCCCACCTTGGTGCCTTTCGTTGTGGAAGAGAAGAAGAGTGAAGGCAACGTCAAGGAGTGGTTGACCAAGGTCTATGTGTATGGTTCCAACATCTCCATCCATGTAGGGGAAGGAGGTAAAATCCAGGTGGGTTCTTCCAGGTCTTGGAAGTGGTATTCCGTGGGCAAAGCCAAGTGGAAGAGGGTAAAACACGGTGGTGGGTGAGGCTGGCATCAGAACCTAAGGAGAACTACCAAAACCATGGAGAACTGGGACATAGGGGTGAAGGGAAGGGTGTTAGGAACCTCACTGAGATGCCCTCAGAGGTGTCTCCAACCAAACCACGGCCACTTTTGGGTTAGAATCAAGGAAAAGGCAGGTTTAATGCCATAAATCCACCACGAAATGGGGTTTTAGGCTCAGAGATGCCCAACCAACCTTCTCCTTTTCCTTTCCTCCAAGGTCAACAAGAAGCCCATCAATGTGCCAACCACATTGGAAGCTGGGAAGATCCAGATCTCCCAAAACGAAGGGAGGCCCATGCTCCAAACAGCCTTTGGGCTGCAGGTGACTTATGACGAAGATTGGGCCATAATGGTGGCCGTGCCCAGCAGCTACTTCGGGGCTACCTGTGGCCTCTGTGGCAACTTCAATGAGGACACTGAGGATGAGATGACCCTTTCTGATGGCACCCAAGCTGCTACCATGGAGGACTGGGCTGAAAGCTGGCGAGATGCCTCCTGCCAAGATGATTGTGAAGGCCAGGAGATGCTGCAGGACACATGTGGTGAGTTCCTATGGGGGTCTGCAACCGTTGGAGGGGAGATCTGCTCATGGGGATTCAAGCCCAACCCGTTGAGTTGATGCTTGGAAGTGTCAACCAAGTTGATGTCAACCATCATCAATGAAGGGTCGGGTTGCTCTTTCCATGCCAAACCACCCCATAATACACCTTCAGCTCTGCAGCACCCATCATCTATGTAGGACTACCTTGAGGGACATCTCCTGGGCTTGGGCTCACTTGTAGGTGTCATCTGAGCCAGCATCCCCAGTGTTGTCCCTCTCCCTCCTTAGTTCATGCTTTGTTTGAAGTCTTCTTCTCAACTCTCACCCCGACAGCTCAAAGATGCCCCCAAAACAGCCACTTCGAGGCCTGTGGGACAGGGTGTCCTGCCACCTGCACCCACCCCAGAGGTCCCACCTCCTGCACTGAACCCTGCACCCCGGGGTGCCATTGCAACGAGGGCTTCGTCCTCCACAACCGCACGTGTGTCCCAATGCAGACCTGCCCTTGCATCCACAACGGGCGCTCCTACAAGGCCCTAGAGGAGTTTTGGGACGATGGGACGTGCCAAAACTGGTGTAGGTGCAATGGTGGCCAAGTGACCTGTAGGAAGAGGGGGTGTAAAGCCCATGAGAAGTGTGCGGTGGTCAATGGCGTCCCAAGGTGCCAGGTCATGAAGCACCTCACGTGCATTGGCACGGGTGACCCTCACTACACCACCTTCGATGGGTTGAGATACGACTTCCAAGGGACCTGCATCTACCAGTTTGCCGCCCTCTGCGCCCAAAGGGACCCTGAACTGGTCCCATTCACCGTCAAGGTGGAGAACAACAACCGGGGCAGCAAAGCTGTGTCCTTCACCAAGACCCTCACCCTGGAGGTCTATGGCAACGTCATCACCATGAGCCAGGAGCATCCACGCAAGGTCATGGTAGGTGGCCGCCAAACCCACGTTCAACCTGCATGGAAAGTGCTTATTTCCTGCCCCCGAACCCCCTTTTTGCCTCATTTTTCCATCAAAACCCATCCCATATCCCATCGTCCTTCTTGGCTCTCCACTCCCCTATGGCCTTTGGAGTGTACCATTCCCTTTCTCCAGCTGCAAAGTGACTCAGTTCCTATGGGAACGGTTCCATTCTCACCTTCTCCTGGCCAAAGTGTACCTCATCATGGCTGGGAACAGCTTTTCCCTTGTTTTTCCTCTTGGAACAATGTTTTCCCATTGAATAGTGAAGCCTCCACCTGGAAAACATCCAGCTCTTGAGCAAGCTCAATGTTCTTGGGAATTGCATCCATGGAAAGTGTTTCACAGCCTTCCCTAGGTCTTGACTCACTTGGATTTGGCTGGAAGCTCTTCCTGGCTTACAGAAAACCACCCAAATCCCAAGTGATTGGGGTTTGAATTGGAAGTTCTCCACGCAGAAAGCTTTGCTTAGCCCCAGCTTGGGTGGAATTGGAGCAGGAAACCTCTCCCAAAAGGACTTCCAAGACCTAAAGGGGCTACAGGAAAGCTGGGAAGGGGCTTTGGACAAGGAGGTGGAGGGATGGGATGAGGAGAAACAGCTTCCAAATGGAAGAGGGAAGCTGGTAAATGGGATCTAAGGAAGTTTTCCACTAGGAGGGTGGTGGGACATTGGAATGGGTTGAACTGAGAAGGTTTGGATGAACCTGGCCAGGTGAATGGGAGCAACCTGGTCTAGTGGAAGGTGCCCATGTCCTTAGGTGGTCTCCAAGGCCCCTTCCAACCCAAACCTATGCAACCACCCCTATCTCAGACAGGTTGCATGAGCTTAGGCCCACCACCAACCTTCTCCAACCACCTCCCCAGGTCAATGGTGCCTTCGTGGAGCTCCCATTCACCAAGAAGGACCAGTTCGAGCTCTACCACAGTGGTGTCCATGGCTTTGCCCGCACGGCCTTTGGTCTAAGGGTGAGCTTTGACTGGTACAGCTATGCCCGTGTCCTCCTCCCTGAGGCCTACGCTGGTGCCGTCTGCGGCCTCTGTGGCAACGCCAATGGAGACCCCAACGATGACTTTGTGACCAGCGATGGCCAACGGGCCACCGATGAGGTCCACTTGGCTAACAGCTGGAAGGTCGGAGATGTCCCTGGTTGCTCCTCTGGTTGCGAAGGGGATTGCCCAACGTGCACCCAAGAGGAGAAGGAGCCCTACCTTGGGGATGGGTATTGCGGGGTCATCGCCAAGGTGGAAGGGCCATTCAGGGCTTGTCATGGTGTGGTCAACCCAATGGCCTTCCTGGAGGATTGTGCCTTTGATGCCTGTCACTACAAAGGCCACCGGGACACCGTGTGTAAAGCCATTGCTGCCTACGTGACCGAGTGTCAAAGCCAAGGAGTCAACGTGGAGCCATGGAGGACGTCGACCTTCTGTGGTGAGTGGGGTCAGAAGGAGGTTCTCCATCCTTCCTGGCCGGGGAATGAAGGTTTGGAGGGCAACCAAACCCACTGGGGCTTTGCTTAAAGCCAATGGAAGCCCCCAAAAGCTTCTCAAGTTGGGTTGGTTTGTCCCATAGCCAACATCTCCTTGTGATGGAATGGGCTTCTCTTCCCCCTCCTTAGCTCCAAGACCAAAGGTTGAGGCTGGAAGCTTCCAAAGCAACATTCCTTCCTTCCTCCATCCCTATTGTCCTCCAGATCCTTCCAGGAATGGGAATCCCAAACCCATCCCTGTATCCACAGCAATGCTCCACCACCAAACCCGTGGGCTGCTCAACACCCCCTCCACGGGCCTGCTCATCCTGCTGCTTCCAACGCCTTCATCCTTCTTCTCCTTCCCCTCCCAGGCCCTTCCTGCCCTCGGCATTCCCACTACGAGCTCTGCGGGAGCAGCTGCCCCACCACGTGCCGTGGGATCGCCAATGCTTGTGACTCAACCCCATGCACCGAGGGCTGCTTCTGCGACCAGGGCTTTGTCCTCAGTGGGGACGAGTGCGTCCCGGTGACCGAGTGCGGCTGTGAGCACCAGGACCTCTACTACAAGAAGGGCGAGGTCTTCTTCTCGTCGTGCCGGGAGAGGTGCCGCTGCGAAGCCAATGGGGTGGTGGAGTGCCAAGAGGCCTTCTGCGGTGCCCATGAGGAGTGCAGGGTGCAGGACGGGCTCTTGGGGTGCTACCCCACCAGTTACGGGCGCCTGGTGGTGTCCGGAGACCCCCATTACGTGACGTTCGACGGAAGAGCCTTCGACCTCTCTGGTTCTTGCACCTACGTCTTGGTGCAGCTCTGCAAGCCGGAGAGGCAGCTGATGGACTTCTCGGTGCTGCTGGAGCACGACGTGGGCCACCGGGGCAACGTGGCCTTGATGAAGAAGGTGGTCACCTCCATCCACGGCTACACGGTCAGCATGGAGAGGGGACGGCCATGGGAGGTTGTGGTAAGTTGGATGGGTGCCACATGGTCCATACGGCCCACGTGTCCCCAGGGAAACCCTTCCTCACCCCATGTCCACCCATTAGGTGGATGGGGAGAGCTACACACTGCCCTTGGTCACCAAGGACAAGAAGCTACGGGTTGGCCAAGAAGGCAACAACATCGTCCTCCAGACCATGGCCGGCATCCGGCTCCTCTACAACGTGGCCACCTACCTCCTGGTCACCATCCCTGCCGCCTACAAGGGCCACGTGTGCGGCTTAGGTGGCAACTACAACGGGGACCCCAGCGATGACTTCCAGGTGCCCGGAGGCTCCTTGGCGCAGAGCACCGAGGACTTTGTCACCTCCTGGAAGGTCCGCGGGGACGATGGGACCTGCACCGACGGCTGCACCGCCACCGCCTGCCCCATGTGCGACGCCGCCGATGTCGCTCCCTACGCGGGCAGTGGATCCTGCGGGATCATCCGGGATCCGCTGGGACCTTTCAGCTCCTGCCACCCAAAGGTGAGCCCGGTGGAGTACTTCAACCATTGCCTCCACGATGTCTGTGCCGCTGCCGGAGCTCCCGAGGTCCTCTGCCACAGCATCCAAGCCTACGCTGCTGCGTGCCAAGCTGCCAGCGCCGAGGTCAAAGCATGGAGAGCGCCCACTTTCTGCCGTAAGTTCCCCAAGGAGCCACCCCAGCTCCTGTCCTCCTCCAAACCCCACGCTTTCCCCCCATAAAACCCACACAGTTTGACCATTGTGGCTTTGGAGGCAAGGTCTCTGTTGCTGGCCACACCAAGAGGACGCACGAGTGACCTCAAATCTTAACCCGCCCCAAACTCCATCAAACAGCCCCCAAATCCCCTTCAAACCACCTAAATAAGCTGGTTTTGGGCTTCAAGCACCCATTTACCACCTTAGAAGGGAGGAATTCCATCCCGCCACCTCCAGAACATCCCCATGGATCTAAGGAGGGGGAAATGGGTGTCCCTCGATGTGGTTGTGATCGGGAACACTTCCGTTTGGGTGTTCAAAGCAGGGTTTGGTTGCCTGAATGTCTTCTGTTGGCATCAGAGGTGGCCAAGGACATTGCTGGGGACGGCCCAGTGGGTGCAGGTCATGTTTTGGGTGCCAATAAAGGTGTTTCTCCTTCTTGCCCAGCTCTGTCCTGCCCACCACATAGTCACTATGAGCTCTGCACCCGCACGTGCGACTTCACCTGCTCCAGCCTCTCCATGCCGGCCCCATGCACGTGGACATGCTTTGAGGGGTGTCAATGTGATGATGGGTACCTCTTCGATGGAGACACCTGCGTGTCCTTGGAGCAATGTGGCTGCTTGCACCAGGGAAGGTACTTCAAGGTGAGCTCGGCCATCAAGGCTCCGGTTGAGGAAGGGTTGGCCCATCTCATTGATGCAACTGGATTGGAGATTCCATCTCCAATGAGCTGGGGTGTCCCATTGGGTCAAAGCAACCGAGTTGGGGTCTCAGCCTTCAGTGTCCCATCAAGATGATGCAAGAGGTTTTGGACGTCCATCTTTGATGAAATCCTCTTAAGGCCACATGTCCACACAGTTGATAACACCCCCAAATCCATGGTTTGGATTTGGAAAAGGGAAATCAATTCATTGAATCCCACCATCTCCACCTTCTCCATCATCTCCACCATCTCCATCATCTCCACCATCTCCACCACCTCTACCATCTCCACCATCTCCATCATTTCCATCTCCTGGTTTTTCCCTCCCTTTGGGATCTCCTCCCTCATTGGAGATGGGAAATCCTGGAGATGGTTGATCCATATGGATTTTGCCCTTTCCAGGCAGGAGAGACCATCACCTCCAACAACTGCACCACAAGATGCACTTGCCACCCGTCCCAGGGCCTTGTCTGTGAGGACACCCAGTGTCCCCAAGACCATGTCTGCTCCACACGGGATGGGGCTCAGCTCTGTGTCAAGCAGCAAGGCCAATGCCACCTCAGCCCCGGGGCCTCCTTGACCACCTTCGATGGCACCAAGGGGATGCTCCTCACCAGCGGCACCTACAAAGTGGCCGCCCTCTGCAACGAGCAATCACCCAACTGGTTCAAGGTGGTGCTGGAGGTCAACGAGTGCCGGGAGGACCAGGTCCCTGCTGCTGTTGCCATCTTCATCTTCTTCCGGGAGGCCTTCATCACCATCAACACCAACATGGAGGTGTGGGTAAGGACATGCACCAGCCTTGAGGACCAACGAGAGGGCGTTGAGTGGGGTCATCTCCTCCTCTTGAGGTGCCCACCCCCTGTTTCGTCCTGATCCTCCCTTCTCCTCTCTGCAGGTCAATGGTCTTTCTGCCCATCTCCCAACCAACATCTCTAAAGCAATCTCCTTGAGCACCACGAACGGGAACATCACCATCTCCCACGCATCAGGCATGGACGTGCTCTTCAGCCCCAAAGGCGCCGTGACGCTCACTGTTGGGGCCACCCTGGTCAACCGCCTCTGCGCTCCTTGTGGCAACTTCAATGGGGACCCCGAGGATGACCTGAAGCTCCCCGATGGGCGCCTTGTGAGGAGCATCGCCGAGGTGGTCGATGCCTGGAAAGCCAGGGACTTTGTGGGCTGGTGAGTGCGATGGAGACGTGGCCCCCCACCTCGATGGGGTGAGATGCTTGAGGCTTGCCAGGGCAGGGACCAAGCTCCGTGGGGCAGCAATGGGGTGGGTTTGGTGGCCTCCAAGGATGGGCTCCCCCAGCTTCTTTGGTTTCATCCACAGCGACTGAGCCCCAAAGCCAAGGAGGTGACTTGGGTAAGTGAAGCCTTCTCCTCCATCCTGCTCCCCCGTCATGCTCATGGATGAAGCTTGGTCCAGCTTCCATAAGGAAGAACCTGGATAAATGGTTCCATTGACCAAAACCTCACCTTCGGGGGGAGGGGTGTGTGTGTGTGTGTGAAGAGGATGAACTTCCCACCTTTCCCAAGGTGATATTCCAAGATATTCCCTGTCTTCCAGCTATGCCTCCAAACTTGTGCGGATGGAAGTGGAAGCCCCCGTCTACCCCATGCAAGAGGTGAGATCATGCTGGGATTGACATGAGAAGACGCTTCCCACCCTCACCATGCTCCATGCTTCCAAAGGCACCCGTGGGGGTCTCCAGTTGAGGTTCTTCCATGGTAGAAGGAAAACTGGCACGGAGCTATGGTGGACGTCAACAGGAGCAGATCCTATGGCCTCAAACTCATGGAAAATGCTGGATCCAACCTCAAATTCAGGAGGAAAAAGGGATATTTGGAAGACCTGGCTCTCCACCAGGTAGAGCTGGGAGCCTGGATGATCCATTCCATAATGGATCACAAAGGGAAGCCCAAATCAGCTTAAAATCAAGACCCACAGAACCAAATCCCACCGTTCCCCCCCCCCCAACCACATTATTCCCACCTCCTGGTTTCCATGGAATGCTGCTTGTGGCTGAGTCAACCAATAAACCCTTTTGCTTGTGGCTTTGTGCTTGGAACATGGGGTTGGGAATGGGAATTGTCTCCTCTGAGGATGGGGCTTGGAGCAACCTGGTTTAGTGGAAGGTGTCCACATCCCTTGGTCTTCAAGGGCCATCCCAGCCCATTCCTGGTCATCCCAAACCTTCTCCATGCCACCCATTCCCATGTCCCACCAGCACTGCAGAGCTGCTGGAGTCCTGGAATCTTCCACTTCCCACAGCGATCCCATAGGACTGGGGTGACTTGAGAACATCCTGATGGGAATGGTGATGGGGAATCCAGCAGGAACTCGTTAGAGCAAATTCCAAAGGCATTGGAACAGATCCCAAAGGAATTGGAGTGAATCCCAGTGTAATTACATCAAACCCCAACCCAATTAAATCAAATCCCAAGGGAATTAATCAAACCCCAGTGTCATTGAATCAAACCCAAACCCAATTAAATCAAATCCCAAAGGAATTAATCAAATCCTAATGTCACTGAATCATATCCCAGTGTAATTAGGACAAAACCAAAGGAACTGGAGCAGATCCCAAAGGAATTGGAGTGAATCCCAAAGGAGTTGGAGCAAATCCAAGTGTCATGTAATCAAATCCCAAAGCAATTAAATCAAATCCCAAAGCAATTAAGACAAAACCTAAAGGAATTGGATCAAATCCCAAAGCAATTGGATCGGATCCCAAAGGAATTGGAGACGATCTCAAAGCAATTAAATCACAACCCAATTAAATCAAATCCCAAAGGAATTGGAGCAAATCCCAGTGTAATTAGGATGAAACCCAAAGGAATTGGATCTGATCCCAAAGCAATTCCAACTCCCCTAAGTACTTAGAAGAGGATGGAAAAACCCCAAAGGCCCTTCAAATGATCCCGATGGAACATAAAACACATCCCAGAGGAATCTGCCCCCCCAGTAGCAGTTAATAGAAATATTGGAGCAATTAATTGGGATATTATAGGAGTACATAGAAATATCCAAGTATGAATAGAAATATTGGAGCAATTAATAGAAATATCCAAGTATTAATAGAAATATCAGAGCAATTATTTGGAATATTAAAGAAATTAATGGAAATATCAGAGCAATTATTTGGAATATTAAAGAAATTAATAGAAATATCCAAGTATTAATAGAAATATCGGAGCAATTATTTGGAATATTAAAGAAATTAATAGAAATATCCAAGTATTAATAGAAATATCGGAGCAATTATTTGGAATATTAAAGAGATTAATAGAAATATCAGCAATTAATAGCAATCTCAAAGGAATTAATAGAGACATCAAACAGATAATAGAAGTATGGGTGCTGTAGGGTGTCTATGGGTGCTATAGGGTGTCTGTGGGTGCTATGGGTGTCAATGGGTGCCGCTCTCTGGGCCGTGGTGCCCTGGAGCCGCCCGTTCATTTACTCAGCAATTAACGGCCACGGGGAGGGATTGGGGGGGGGGGGGGGGAGCTCTCTGTGGGGGGGCCCTTTGGGTCGGTTTGGGTCCTTTTGGGGGGGTCCCTTTTGAGGGGGGGCTCCCTAAAACCTCTGGGTCACTTTGGGGGTCCCTTTGGGTCCCTTGTGAGAGCAATGGAGGGGTTCTTTGGGTCCTTTTGGGGGGCAATGGGGTGTCCCCTTTGGGGGCAATGGGGAGGTCCCCTTTGGGGGGCAATGGAGGGGTCCCTTTGGATACCTTTTGGGGAACAATGTGGGGTCCCATTGTCGACAATGGGGGAGTCCTTTTGGGTCCCTTTTGGTTCCTTTGGGAGCAATGGGGGGTCCCCTTGAGTCCCTTTTAGGGGAGGTCCCTTGAGGGGCAATGGGGGGCCCCTTTTAGGGGTAATGGGGAATCCCTTTAGGTCCATTTTTGTGGCATTGGGGGGTCCCTTTGGATCTATTTAGGGGGGTCCCTTTATGGGGCAATGGGGCGGGTCCTTTCGGGTCCCTTTATGGGGCAATGGGGGGTCCTTTCAGGTCCCTTTAAGGAGCAATGGGGGGGTCCCTTTGGGTCCCTTTTTGGAGGCAATAGGGGGGGTCTTTTGGGGGACATCCTTTTAGGTCCCTGTGGGTGCCTTTTGGGGGCAACGGAGGGTCCCTTTATGTCCCATTGTGGGGGGTCCCTTTTGGTCCCTTTCAGGGTGTCTATGGGTGAGGCAATGCCAGGGGGCTCCTTGGGTACATTTGGGGTGTGTGTGTCCCCCCCCCTTGCCTGGTCCCTGTGTGCTCTGTGGGGCCCAACCCAACCTCTCCCCCCCCCCCCAATCACTCCATTGTTCTGGAAAACAAAAGGCTCTGGCTCAATTATCCCGAGCAGGGGAGCGGAGGGACCGGAGGGACAGGACAGGGAATGGGGGTGGGAATGGGGGAGGGATGGGGGATGGAGAGAAGGATGGGGGAGATAAGGATGGGGGGATGGTGGATGGAGGTAAGGATGGATGAAGATGAAGATTGAAGAAGATGAAGGTGGTTGGATGAAGATAAGGATGGATGAATGGAGGGATGGAGATAAGGATGGATGGTGATGGATGGATGGATGGATGGATGGATGGATGGATGGATGGATGGATGGAGATAAGGATGGATGATGATGGATGGATGGATGGATGGATGGATGGATGGATGGATGGAGATAAGGATGGATGATGATGGATGGATGGATGGATGGATGGATGGATGGAGATAAGGATGGATGATGATGGATGGATGGATGGATGGATGGAGATGAAGATGGATGGAGATAAGGTTGATGGAGATAAGGATGAATGACGGATGGATGGATGGATGGATGGATGGATGGATGGATGGATGGATGGATAGATGGAGAATAAGGATGATAGACACAAGGATGGCTGGAGATAAGGATGGATGATGGATGGATGAATGGATGGATGGAGATAAAGATGGATGATGATGGATGGATGGATGGATGGATGGATGGATGGATGGATGGATGGAGAATAAGGATGATAGACACAAGGATGGCTGGAGATAAAGATGGATGATGGATGGATAGATGGAGAATAAGGATGATAGACACAAGGATGGATGGAGATAAGGATGGATGATGGATGGATGGATGGATGGATGGATGGATGGAGAATAAGGATGATAGACACAATGAGGGATGGAGATAAGGATAGATGATGGATGGATGACGAATGGAGGTAAGGATGGATCATGGATGGATGAAGATAAGGATGAATGGAAGATAAGGATGAATGGGGACAAGGATGGATGGATGGATCATGATGATGATGATGGTACTGGACCAAGACACCCCCCCCCCCGCCACCCTCCTGGCGCCAGCCTGGCCCCAGCAGCTCCAGCCCCAGATCTTATCTCTGCCTGGGGGGCAGGCTCCACCCCCAGCCCAGTGACCAATGGGGTGGCACTGGGGGGGCAGAGCCAGCACCCCATTGGTTGATGCCACCCCATTGGGGCCCTACAAAAACACGGAGCTCCTGCAAGGACCCACAGCTCCGGGGCCCTGGAGTGGTGAGTTCTGGCTCTATGGGGTGCTATGGGGGTCTATGGGGGGGGTCTGTGGGTGTCCATGGGGGTCTATGGGGCAAGGTGGGTCCTGGACATCTAGAGCTCATTTTCACACTGGGGATGTCTATGGGGTTCTATGAGGACCATGGGGGTCTGTGGGGTGTCTATGGGCTGTCTAGGGGGTGTCCGGGGGGGTTCTATGGAGTCTATGGGTCCTGGATCCCATTGCCATACTGGGGGGTCTATGGGCTGTCTATGGGGTCTATGGGCTATCTGTGGGGTGTCCATGGGAGTCTATGGAGTGCCTATGGGCATTCTACGGGGTCTATGGGACCTATGTGGTCTATGGAGCAGGATGGGTCCCATTTCCATCCTGGGGTGTCTATGGGAGGTCTACTGGTGTCTATGGGGTTCTATGGGGTCTCACCATCCTCTCTCCAACCTGTGGGGCAGATGGGGCCTCCTCGGACCTTCCTCCTCTGGGCTTGGCTCCTGCTCCACTGTGGTGAGTCCCATTTGGCCAAAATCCCTCTTTTTCTCCTCAGATTGACTCCCTCCACCCCAAATTTTCCTTTTCCACCCCAAATTTTCCTTTTCCACCCCAATTCTGACCTTTCCTGCCCCAAATCTGCCTTTCCCACCCCAAATCTGCCTTTCCCACTCCAAATCTGTCTTTCCCACCCCAAATCTGTCTTTCCCACTCCAAATTTGGCCTTTTTCCACCCCATATTTGCCTTTTCCACCCCGAGTTGGTCCTTTTCCACCCCAAATCTTCCTTTTCCACTCCAAATCTACCTTTTCTACCCCAAATCTACCTTTTCTGTCACAAATTTGGCCATTTCCACTCCAGATTTGGACTTTTCCACCCCGAATTTGTTTTTTCCCCCTCCAAAATCTGTCTTTTCCACCTCTCCTTTTCCTTCTCCAAGCCCCAAATTGGTTGTTTTCCACCACAAATCCCCTTTTGAATGAGGAAACCCAAGGTCTCAACCCCTATACAAGCCCTTGGAGAATCCCCATCCCTTCCATCCTCCCATGGGCATGGACCTAAGGGAGGGAAGAGCTTCACTGGCTGGAAGGAGACCAAATCCAGTTGGGAATTGGCCACCAGAAGAAACTGTCCCAGGCTGCGGTGGCTTCTCTGGTGTCTCATAAAGGGTTGAGCTGCTGCTCATGGCACTCCTTGGTGTCATTCCAGGGGCAGATCCAGATCCATCCATCCCAAGCGGATCCAAGCTCTGCCTCGGGGTGCGATGTGGACCTGGGAGAACTTGCAAAGTGATGGAGAATGGGCCCAAGTGTGTCCCGTTGGCCTCATGCAAGGACATCCAATGTGGAGAAGGGACTCAATGCAAGATGGTCAATGGGTGGCCCAAGTGCGTCCCATTGCCCTCATGCAAGGACATCCAATGTGGAGCAGGGACCCAATGCAAGATGGTTGAAGGGTCTCCAAAGTGTGTCCCGTTGCCTTCATGCCTCAACTTCCAGTGTGGAGAAGGAACCCAATGCAAGATGGTCAATGGGTGGCCCAAGTGTGTCCCACTTCCATCATGCCAGAACACCCATTGCGGAGCAGGGACTCAATGCAAGATGGTTGAAGGGTCTCCAAAGTGTGTCCCGTTGCCTTCATGCCTCAACTTCCATTGCAAGACAGGAACACAATGCAAGATGGTCAATGGGTGGCCCAATTGTGTCCCATTGCCCTCATGCAAGGACATCCAGTGTGGAGCAGGGACTCAATGCAAGATGGTTGAAGGGTCTCCAAAGTGTGTCCCATTGCCTTCATGCAAGGACATCCATTGTGGAGAAGGGACCCAATGCAAGATGGTCAATGGGTGGCCCAAGTGTGTCCCATTGCCTTCATGCAAGGACATCCAGTGTGGAGAAGGGACTCAATGCAAAATGGTTGAAGGGTCTCCAAAGTGTGTCCCATTGCCCTCATGCCTCAACTTCCAGTGTGGAGAAGGGACCCAATGCAAGATGGTCAATGGGTGGCCCAAGTGCGTCCCATTGCCCTCATGCAAGGACATTCGTTGTGGAGCAGGGACCCAGTGCAAGATGGTTGAAGGGTCTCCAAAGTGTGTCCCATTGCCCTCATGCCTCAACTTCCAGTGTGGAGAAGGGACCCAATGCAAGATGGTCAATGGGTGGCCCAAGTGTGTCCCACTTCCATCATGCAAGGACATCCAATGTGGAGCAGGGACCCAATGCAAGATGGTTGAAGGGTCTCCAAAGTGTGTCCCGTTGCCTTCATGCCTCAACTTCCATTGCAAGACAGGAACACAATGCAAGATGGTCAATGGGTGGCCCAAGTGTGTCCCATTGCCCTCATGCAAGGACATCCATTGTGGGGCAGGAACTCAATGCAAGATGGTTGAAGGGTCTCCAAAGTGTGTCCCATTGCCCTCATGCCTCAACTTCCAGTGTGGAGAAGGGACCCAATGCAAGATGGTCAATGGGTGGCCCAAGTGTCTTCCAGTCCCATCATGCCAGAACACCCGTTGCGGGGCAGGAACCCAATGCAAGATGGTTGAAGGGTCTCCAAAGTGTGTCCCATTGCCCTCATGCAAGGACATCCATTGTGGAGAAGGGACCCAATGCAAGATGGTCAATGGGTGGCCCAAGTGTGTCCCCAAGCCCTCGTGCCACAACTTCCAATGCAAGGGAAGGTCCCGGTGCCACATGGTGGCCGGGAGACCCAAGTGTCTCCCCACCCCTTCGTGCCGCCTCTTCCAGTGCGATGAAGGCATGAGGTGCAAGATGGTTGGGGGTTGGCCCAAGTGCGTCCACCTCGCCCCATCCTGCCACCTCATTCGCTGTGCCAAGGGCACCCAATGCAAGATGGTCAACGGGTGGCCCAAGTGCGTGCGGAAGCAGCTCTTCCTAAGGGAAGCTCCGTCCCCTCCAGGTCTCCAGAGGTCACCTTCGTGCCACCAGCACCCTTGTCCCCAAGGGACCACGTGTAAGATGCTTGATGGTTGGCCCCAGTGTGTCCAAGCTAAGACATCCTCGAGGAGACCTTCTTGTGGTGACATCCAATGCCCTAAAGGGACTGCGTGCAAGATGACCAACGGGTGGCCTCACTGTGTCCAAGCCCAACCCACCTGCCGGGACATCCAGTGCCAGCCAGGAGCCAGGTGCCACGCCGTCAACGGTTGGCCACGGTGCGTCCCAACCAAGGCATCCCCAGGCCAACCGTGCCGAGATGTCCGATGTCCCAAAGGCACCTCCTGCAAGGTGATGGAGAACCAACCACGCTGCGTCCAGCACCCTCCTTCCTGCGATGACATCCAGTGCCAGCAAGGAACCGTGTGCCACATGGTGGATGGGTGGCCTTGGTGTGGCCCAATGAAGATCTCCCACCCCTCCGTGCTCCTCAAGCCACCGTCATGCCAAGAGGTCCATTGCCAGAAGGGGACCGTGTGCAAGATGCTGGATGGGTGGCCCAAGTGTGTTGGTCCCCTGCCCTCATGCGGGGACATCCAGTGTCCCAAGGGCACCATGTGCCAGATGGTTGGGTCTTGGCCTAAGTGCGTCCATAACCCCCCTTCCTGCAGCAGCTTCTGGTGTCCCAAAGGGACCTCATGCTCCATGGAGCGTGGTTGGCCTCGATGCGTGCAGAAAGGCCTGGTCCATCACCAGGGAGCTCCTCCAGCTTGGCTTGGGCCAAGGAAGACTTCCAATGCACCTCCCATCCCAAAGCAAGCACCAAAGATGAGGCCAACTTGTGCTGAGGTGAGATGTCACCATGGGACCACGTGTAAGATGCTGGATGGTCAACCTCAATGTGTCCATCAGCAACCAACCTGCAGCGACATCCAGTGCCAGAAGGGGACCATGTGCCAGATGGTTGATGGTTGGCCAAGATGCATCCAAGACAAGACCTCCATTAGGAGACTTTCATGCAGCGACCTCCAATGCCCCCATGGAACCATCTGCAACATGCTCAATGGCCAGCCCCAGTGTGTCCAGACCAAGGTACCCCCAAGGCCACCTTCCTGCCATGACCTCCAGTGTCCCCAAGGGACCACGTGTAAGATGCTGGATGGTCAACCTCAATGTGTCCATCAGCAACCAACCTGCAGTGACATCCAGTGTCAGAAGGGAACCTCCTGCCAGATCCTTGATGGTTGGCCAAGATGTATCCAAGCCAAGACCTCCATTAGGAGACCTTCATGCAGCCACATCCAGTGTCCCAAAGGGACCACCTGCAACATGGTCAATGGGTGGCCTCAATGTGTCCATCACCGACCTTCATGCAGTGATGTCCAGTGTCAAAAGGGTGCCACCTGCAACATGGTCAATGGCCAACCCCAATGTGTCCAATCCAAGATCTCCATTAGGAGACCTTCCTGCAGTGACCTCCAGTGTCCAAAGGGAACAACGTGTAACATGGTCAATGGTTGGCCTCAATGTGTCCATCACCAACCTTCATGCACTGATGTCCAATGCCAGAAGGGGGCCTCCTGTCAGATGGTGGATGGTTGGCCAAGATGCATCCAAGCCAAGACCTCCATTAGTAGACCTACTTGCAGTCACATCCAATGTCCCAAAGGGAGCACCTGCAACATGGTCAATGGTTGGCCTCAATGTGTCCATCACCAACCATCATGCCAGGACATTCAATGCCAAAAGGAGACCATGTGCCAGATGGTTGATGGTTGGCCAAGGTGCATCCAATCCAAGACCTCTATAAGGAGACCTTCATGCAGTGACCTCCAATGTCCCAAGGGCACCACCTGCAACATGGTCGATGGCCAACCCCAGTGTGTCCACAACCCCCCCTCATGCCATGATGTCCAATGCCAGAAGGGGACCTCCTGCCAAATGGTTGATGGTTGGCCACGATGCATCCAAGCCAAGACCTCCATAAGGAGACCTTCATGCAATGATCTCCACTGTCCCCATGGAACCACCTGCAACATGGTCAATGGCCAGCCCCAGTGTGTCCAGACCAAGGTACCCCCAAGGCCACCTTCCTGCCATGACCTCCAGTGTCCCCAAGGGACCACGTGTAAGATGCTGGATGGTCAACCTCGCTGTGGCCATCAGCAACCAACCTGCAGTGACATCCAGTGTCAGAAGGGAACCTCCTGCCAGATCCTTGATGGTTGGCCAAGATGTGTCCAAGCCAAGACCTCCATTAGGAGACCTTCATGCAGCCACATCCGGTGTCCCAAAGGGACCACCTGCAACATGGTCAATGGGTGGCCTCAATGTGTCCATCACCGACCTTCATGCAGTGATGTCCAGTGTCAAAAGGGTGCCACCTGTAACATGGTCAATGGCCAACCCCAATGTGTCCAATCCAAGATCTCCACTAGTAGACCTTCCTGCAGCGACCTCCAGTGTCCAAAAGGAACAACGTGTAACATGGTCAATGGCTGGCCCCAATGTGTCCATCACCAACCTTCATGCAGTGATGTCCAGTGTCAAAAGGGTGCCACCTGCAACATGGTCAATGGCCAACCCCAATGTGTCCAATCCAAGATCTCCATTAGTAGACCTTCCTGCAGTGACCTCCAGTGTCCAAAGGGAACAACGTGTAACATGGTCAATGGCTGGCCCCAATGTGTCCATCACCAACCTTCATGCCAAGACATCCAATGCCAGAAGGGGACCTCCTGTCAGATGGTTGATGGCTGGCCAAGATGCATCCCAGCCAAGACGTCCATAAGGAGACCTTCATGCAATGACCTCCAATGTCCCAAAGGAACCACCTGCACCATGCTCAATGGCCAACCCCAGTGTGTCCAGACCAAGATACCCCCAAGGCCACCTTCCTGCCATGACCTCCAGTGTCCCCAAGGGACCACGTGTAAGATGCTGGATGGTCAACCTCGCTGTTTCCATCAGCAACCAACCTGCAGTGACATCCAGTGTCAGAAGGGAACCTCCTGCCAGATCCTTGATGGTTGGCCAAGATGTATCCAAGCCAAGACCTCCATAAGGAGACCTTCGTGCAGCGACCTCCAGTGTCCCAAAGGGACCACCTGCAACATGGTCAGTGGGTGGCCTCAATGTGTCCATCACCAAACTTCATGCACTGATGTCCAATGCCAGAAGGGGGCGTCCTGTCAGATGGTTGATGGTTGGCCAAGGTGCATCCAAGCCAAGACCTCCATTAGTAGACCTACTTGCAGTCACATCCAATGTCCCAAAGGGAGCACCTGCAACATGGTCAATGGTTGGCCTCAATGTGTCCATCACCAACCATCATGCCAGGACATTCAATGCCAAAAGGAGACCATGTGCCAGATGGTTGATGGTTGGCCAAGGTGCATCCAATCCAAGACCTCCATAAGGAGACCTTCATGCAGTGACCTCCAATGTCCCAAGGGCACCACCTGCAACATGGTCGATGGCCAACCCCAGTGTGCCCACAACCCCCCCTCATGCCATGATGTCCAGTGCCAGAAGGGGACCTCCTGCCAAATGGTTGATGGTTGGCCACGATGCATCCAAGCCAAGACCTCCATAAGGAGACCTTCATGCAATGATCTCCACTGTCCCAATGGAACCACCTGCAACATGGTCAATGGCCAGCCCCAGTGTGTCCAGACCAAGGTACCCCCAAGGCCACCTTCCTGCCATGACCTCCAGTGTCCCCAAGGGACCACGTGTAAGATGCTGGATGGTCAACCTCAATGTGTCCATCAGCAACCAACCTGCAGTGACATCCAGTGTCAGAAGGGAACCTCCTGCCAGATCCTTGATGGTTGGCCAAGATGTGTCCAAGCCAAGACCTCCATTAGGAGACCTTCATGCAGCCACATCCGGTGTCCCAAAGGGACCACCTGCAACATGGTCAATGGGTGGCCTCAATGTGTCCATCACCAACCTTCATGCAGTGATGTCCAGTGTTCCAAGGGTGCCACCTGCAACATGGTCAATGGCCAACCCCAATGTGTTCAATCCAAGATCTCCATTAGTAGACCTTCCTGCAGTGACCTCCAGTGTCCAAAGGGAACAACGTGTAACATGGTCAATGGCTGGCCCCAATGTGTCCATCACCAACCTTCATGCCAAGACATCCAATGCCAGAAGGGGACCTCCTGTCAGATGGTTGATGGCTGGCCAAGATGCATCTCAGCCAAGACCTCCATAAGGAGACCTTCATGCAATGACCTCCAATGTCCCAAAGGAACCACCTGCACCATGCTCAATGGCCGACCCCAGTGTGTCCAATCCAAGTTCTCCATTATCAGACCTTCATGCAGTGACCTCCACTGTCCCCGTGGAACCACCTGCAACATGGTCAATGGCCAACCCCAGTGTGTCCAATACCAACCAACCTGCAGTGACATCCATTGCCAGAAGGGAACCTCCTGCAACATGGTCAATGGGTGGCCAAGATGTGTCCAAACCAAGACTTCCATAAGGAGACCTTCATGCAGTGACCTCCAGTGTCCCAAAGGGACCACCTGCAACATGGTCAATGGGTGGCCCCAATGTGTCCATCACCAGCCTTCATGCAGTGATGTCCAGTGTGGGAAAGGAACCTCCTGCCAGATGGTTGATGGTTGGCCAAGATGCATCCAAGCCAAGACCTCCATCAGGAGACCTTCGTGCAGCCACAACCAATGTCCCACGGGCACCACCTGCAACATGGTCAATGGCCAACCCCAATGTGTCCACAACCCACCCTCCTGCCAGGATATCCAATGCCAGAAGGGGACCATGTGCCAGTTGGTTGATGGTTGGCCAAGATGCATCCAAGCCAAGACCTCCATTATGAGACCTTCTTGCAGCCACATCCAATGTCCCAAAGGGAGCACATGTAACATGGTCAATGGGTGGCCTCAATGTGTCCATCACCAACCTTCATGCCAGGATACCCAATGCCAGAAGGGAACCTCCTGTCAGATGGTCGACGGTTGGCCAAGATGCACCCAAGTCAAGACCTCCATAAGGAGACCTTCATGCAGTGACCTCCAATGTCCTAAGGGAACAACATGTAACATGGTCAATGGGTGGCCTCAATGTGTCCATCACCAACCTTCCTGCCAGGACATCCAGTGTGGGAAAGGAACCTCCTGCCAGATGGTCAATGGGTGGCCAAGATGCATCCAAACCAAGACCTCCATTATGAGACCTACTTGCAGCCACATCCAATGTCCCAAAGGGACCACCTGTAGCATGGTCAATGGGTGGCCTCAATGTGTCCATCACCAGCCTTCATGCAGTGATGTCCAGTGTGGGAAAGGAACCTCCTGCCAGATGGTTGATGGTTGGCCAAGATGCATCCAAGCCAAACTCTCTGTAAGGAGACCTTCATGCAGTGACCTTCAATGTCCCCATGGAACCATCTGCAACATGGTCAATGGCCAACCGCAATGTGTCCAACCCAAGACCTCCATAATGAGACCTTCATGCAGTGACCTCCAATGTCCCAAAGGGACCACCTGCAACATGGTCAGTGGGTGGCCTCAATGTGTCCATCACCAACCTTCATGCAGTGACGTCCAATGCCAGAAGGGGACCTCCTGCCAAATGGCTGATGGTTGGCCAAGGTGCATCCAAGCCAAGGCCTCCATAAGGAGACCTTCATGCAGTGACCTCCAATGTCCCATGGGGACCACCTGTAAGATGACCAATGGTTGGCCTCAATGTGTCCACCACCAACCCTCGTGCAGCGACACCCAATGTCCCCTGGGTGCCACCTGCACCGTGGTCAATGGGTGGCCCCGCTGCCTTCCCACCCACCCCCTCCTCACCTCCATGTCCTGGGGCCACCATAAACCCACCCTGCCCTTGACCCCCAGCTTCTCTTCCCCCCCCATGTCCTGCATTGGCATCCACTGCGTCTCCCTCCCCATGTCCTGCCACCATGTCCCCTGTCCTCCTCCCACCGCCTGCGTGCTGCTCCATGGTCACCCTGCATGCGTGACCCGTCCCTCCTGCCACCACCTCCAGTGCGCGGTGGGCATGGGCTGCAAGGTCCTCAACGGGTGGCCCCGCTGCGTCCGCGTCCCCTCTTGCCACGACCTTCGTTGTGCAGTCGAGACCACGTGCAGGCTGGTGGCAGGGTGGCCCAAGTGCATCCGGATGACCCGGAGCATCCCCATGGCCTCCTGCTCCAGCGTCTCCTGCCCGCCGGGCTCTGTGTGCCACCCGGGGGAGGACAGCCCCCGTTGCGTGCCCTCCAAAGCCACCTGCTCCACCTTGAGGTGCTCCGAGGGTTCCACGTGCCACGTGGTGGATGGGCAGCCCCAGTGCCGGCCCGCGTGCTCCTCCGTGCGCTGCCCCACCGGTACCTCCTGCCACGAGGAAGGCGGGTGGCCAACGTGCGTCCCCATCAAGCCATCGTGTGCCACCGTCCGCTGCCCACCGGGGACCTCCTGTGACCTGGTGGAGGACTGGCCGACGTGCGTCCCCACCGAGCCCAGCTGCTCCCAGGTGCAGTGCCCGCCGGGGACGGGGTGTCAGATGGTGCAAGAGCGCCCCACGTGCGTCCCCACCAAGCCCACGTGCTCCCAGGTGCAGTGCCCGCCGGGAACCGCGTGCCGAGGGGTGGAAGGGTGGCCCAAATGCGTCCTCAAGAAGCCGTCGTGCCATGATGTCCGTTGTCCCCATGGAAGCACGTGCAGGGTGGTGGGAAGCACCCCCAGGTGCATCCATGTGCCACAACCCCCCCTTGTTTGCCACATCTTGGGCCGCTGGCGCTACCGGGCCTTTGATGGGAAGACCCATGGCTTGAGCCCGGCTTGCACCCAAGCCTTGGTGAGCACCTGCAGCACCCAATTGCCCTCCCTCGAGGTCACCGCTGGAGGCCAAGTGGGGAGAGGACCAGGAGCCACCTTCAACCACGTCAGCATCCGTGGGGATGGATTCGAGGTGGTTCTGCTCCGTGGAGAGGAGACCGTGGCCAGGGTGAGGACGTGGTGGTGGTGAGGATGGGTGGTGGTGAGGATGGGTGATGATGACAGTGATGGGTGATGGTGATGATGACGGTGATGATGATGACGGATGATGACGACGATGGATGATGACAATGATGATGACAATTATGATGATGATGATGATGACAAAGATGGATGATGATGACAATGATGGATGATGATGATGACGATAATGATGGATGATGATGATAACAATGATGACGATGATAACAATGATGATGACGCTGCTGCTGCTGATGACAATGATGATGATAATGATGGATGATGATGATGATAACAATGATGATGATGATAATGATGATGATGATGATGCCATCTCCATCCCGTCCCAAAGCTCTCCCTTCCCACAGGTATCCGGGCACCCATCCCGCCTGCCCCTGGTGCTGGCGGGAGGCCGGGTGCGTGTGGAGCGCCGTGGGGGCCAGCGCAGGGTGACCACGTCCATGGGAGTGCGGGTGGCCATCGGGGGGGACGGCGCCGTGACCGTGACGGCCCCAATGGGGCTCAGGGGGCAGCTCTGTGGGGTCTGCACCCAGGACAAGGACAAGGAGGGAGAGGAGAGGACGTGCGGTGAGTGGGGTGGTGGGGATGGGTGAGGGATGGATGGGGATGGTGGATGATGATGATGGATGATGGATGACGGTGGATGATGGATGATGATGGTGGATGATGGATGATGATGATGGATGATGATGATGATGATGATGATGGATGATGATGGATGATGACCATTACCTGCCTACACCACCATCATCACTAACCCCTTTCTCCTCTCCCCCCCCCCTCCCAGTTCCCCCCTGCATCCCCAAATACCCCCAGGAGCCTTGTCCCCCACAACCCCTTCCATTGCCCACCTCCAGCCCCACCTCCACCTCCAGCCCCACCACCTCCACCTGCTCCGTGCTGGGCATGGGGCACCTCCGCACCTTCGACCGCCTCCATCACCACTTCCCCATCTCCTGCGGCCACCTCTTGACCGGGATCTGCTCTGGGCCCGGATCCTTCCGTGTCCTGCTCCGGGGCGGCCCCGGTGGCCTCCATGGGGTGGACATCCTGGTGGGACGCACGCGTGTGGGGCTGGAGCCCGGCTTGGTCACGGTGAGCAGCTACAGTGGGGAGTAGGGTGGTGTGAGGGATGGGGGGGAGAAGGTGGAGTGAGGCCTTGAGGGACCACCTTGGGACTCCCTGTTCCATCCCATTTCCACCCCATTCCCCCATACTTTCCCCCATCTCCCCTCATTCCCACCCCTTTTCCCCCTCATTCCCACCCCATTTCCTTCCATTCCCCCAATAACACCCATTTCCCCCTATTTCCTCCCCATTCCCGCCCCATTCCCACCCCATTCCAGGTCGACGGCATCCCCATCCGCCTGCCCTACACCTCCCCTACCTCGGGGCTCACCCTGGAGCGCCGGGGCTGGGAGGTGACCATGGGCACCCGCCATGGGGTGGCATTGACCTTCGATGGCCACCACCGCTGGGTGAGCATCACGGCCCCAGCACCACTTGGGGGGCACCTCTGCGGCCTCTGTGGGGACATGGACGGGGACCCCCGCAACGATGTGGGGCAGGAGGACAAGTGGAAGGTGGGAAGTGAGCAACGGGAATGCCGGGATGCGATGGGATGCGGGAAGAAGGAGGAGGAGGAGGAGGAGGAGGAGTGCCGGGTGATGGTGAGGAAGGAAGGACCATTCCGGCGCTGCCACGGCCTCGTCCATCCCGGCACCTACTACCGGGACTGTGTGGCCGACGGGTGCCATCCGGGTGGGACGTGCCGGGTGCTGGCTGCCTACGCCGCGGCCTGTCGGAGCGCTGGGATCACGGCCCTGCAATGGCGAGGGAAGGATCTGTGCCGTGAGTGATGCCCGTGGAAAGGGGTGGAAGGGGGGAGATGGAGCCGTGGGAGCCATAGAGAGCCCAGGGAGCAAGGTTATTGGGGGGGTGGGCAAGGTGGACCCATAGAGCATCCATAGGACGCATAGAGTATCCATAGGACCAAGGTGGAGTTGGGAGGAAGAAGATGGACCCATAGAGCATCCATAGGACCCATAGAGTATCCATAGGACTAAGGTGGGATAGGGTTGGGAAGGAACAATGTGGACCCATAGAGCATCTGTAGGACCCATAGAGTACCCATAGGACCCATAGGGTGTCCATAGGACCAAGGTGGGATGGGGAGGGAGAAGATGGACCCATAGAATACCCATAGGACCAAGGTGGGATGGGAAGGGACAACATGGACCCATAGAGCATCCATAGGATCCCATAGAGCATCCATAGGACCCATAGAGTACCCATAGACTGTCCATAAGACCAAGGTGGGATGGGGAGGGAGAAGGTGGACCCATAGAGCATCCAAAGGGGGATCTATAGAGCACCCAAAGGTGACCCCAACCCCACCACCCTCTCCTCTCCCCCCAGCACCCAAGTGCCCCACGGGCACCCATTACTCCTCCTGCGTCCCCGGCTGCGTGTCCCCCCTGGAGGCCAGGAGCACCCCTGGGTGCTCCGTGGGGCCAAAAGCACCTGCGTCGGGTGCCGTGGGGAGCTGCCGCGCCGTGGGGCAGCGCCACTTCGTGACCTTCGATGGGGCGGCCGTGGCCGTCGGGGACAACTGCTCCTACGTGGTGGCCCGGAGCTGTGGGCACCAGAAGGCCCAAGGTGACTTCGATGTCAGCATCAGGGACCCCACGGAAGGAGGCAGGAGTGTGGTGGTCACCGTGGAGAAGAGGAGATGGGTGATGAGGGCAGGGAAGAGCCGGGAGGTGGAGGTGAGGAGGGGATGGGGATGGATGGAGGTGGAGGTGGATGGAGGTGGATGGAGATGATGGATGGGGATGGAGAGGGATGGAGATGATGGATGGGGATGGAGGTGAATGAAGATGATGGGTGGGGATGGATGGAGATGGATGGGGATGGAGATGATGGATGGGGATGGAGATGATGGATGGGGATGGATGGAGATGGATGGGGATGGAGATGATGGAGGTGGATGGGGATGGAGATGAATGAAGATGATGGATGGGGATGGATGGGGATGGATGGGGATGGAGATGCTGGATGGGGATGAATGGGAGTGGAGATGGGTGAATATGGATGGGGATGGGTGTGGATGATTGATGGGGATGGATGGCAATGCGGAGATGGAGGGGGATGGGGATGGAGAAGGATGGGGAGGGATGAGCAGGACATGACCCCCTTGTCCCCATTGCCCCCCCAGCTGGACGGAATCCCTCTCCCTCTGCCCTTCTGCCTCGAGGACCGCTCCACCTGCGTGTCCCTGTCCCACCAGCACAGCACCACCTCCGTGGTCCTCAGCACCACCTTCGGCCTCACCGTCGCCGCCGGCCCCGGTCACTCCGTGGCCGTCACCTTGGCCTCCCACCACCGCAACCTCACCTGCGGCCTCTGCGGCAACTTCGACGGCCACCCCTCCAACGACCACCTCGTGGCCACCGGCACCGGGTGCCACCGGCCCTGCCCGGGCCCTGCGTGTCCCCCCTGCCACCAGGCCCCCAAAAGAGCCTTTGTCCATGGGGAGCTCTGCGGCGTCCTCCGTGCTCCGCGGGGCCCCTTTGGGAGCTGCCACCCCATGGTCAACCCCGGGGTCTTCTTCGACGTGTGCCTATGGGAGCTCTGCGAGGCTCCTGGGGCCAAGGGGGTCCTCATGGAGGTCCTGAGGGCCTATGAAGATGCTTGCCTCCAGGCTGGGGCACGAGTGGAGCCTTGGAGCGTCCCAGATGTGTGCCGTGAGTTGGGGGGCAGGGGGTGGGATGGATGTGGGCATGTCCGGTGGCTTTCCATGGGCTATGGGTCCATGGGGGTCATCTTGACCTGTCCATGTTCCCCTTTGTCTGTCCATCTAGGACATCCCTGTGTCCATCTAGGACATCCCTATGTGTCCATCTATGATATCCCTATGTGTCCATCTAGGACATCCCTATGTGTCCATCTAGGACATCCCTATGTGTCCATCTAGGACATTATTATGTGTCCATCTAGGACATCCCTGTGTCCATCTAGGACATCCCTATGTGTCCATCTAGGACATCCTTATGGGTCCATCTAGGACATCCTTATGTGTCCATCTAGGACATCCCTATGTGTCCATCTAGGACATCCCTGTGTCCACCTAGGACATCCCTATGTGTCCATTTAGGACATCCTTATGTGTCCATCTAGGACATCCCTATGTGTCCATCTAGGACATCCCCATGTGTCCACAAAGACCTCCACCTCTCCATGTGTCCCCTGTTGGTGTCCCCTATGGGACTGTCCCCCCCATCACCTCTCCATGGCCATGGTGACCTCCATGATGATCTTCACGTGTCCATCATGGTTTCTCTCCATACTTCCATGATGTTCTCCCTCTCCATGATGTCTCCCTTGTGTCACCCAACAGCCCCGTGGTGCCCTGAGGACAATGGCGGTCCCCATCGGAAGCTGCTGCCAAGGGACCTGGTCACAGGTGAGGTGGGGACATGGGGGGGGACGACATACCATGGGGCTGGATGGAGATGGATGGATGGATGGATGGAGCCATTGGAGATGGATGGATGGAGCCATTGGAGATGGATGATGGATGGATGGATGGATGGAGCCATTGGAGATGGATGGATGGAGCCAATGGAGATGGATGGATGGAGCCAATGGAGATGGATGGATGGATGGATGGATGGATGGATGGAGCCAATGGAGATGGATGGATGGAGCCAATGGAGATGGATGGATGGAGCCAATGGAGATGGATGGATGGATGGATGGATGGATGGATGGATGGAGCCATTGGAGATGGATGGATGGAGCCATTGGAGATGGATGGATGGAGCCAATGGAGATGGATGGATGGAGCCATTGGAGATGGATGGATGGAGCCAATGGAGATGGAGGGATGGAGCCAATGGAGATGGATGGATGGAGCCAATGGAGATGGATGGATGGATGGATGGAGCCATTGGAGATGGATGGATGGGCCATGGAGGTGCTCATGGCCCCATATCCTCCTGCAGGTCTCCTCCCTGGAGCTCTCCCCCTGCAAGGCCTCACCCAGACCCTGGCGGTCCCCGGGGCCGTGGTGGGGCAGGTCCTGGGCCTCCGGCCCCTCCAAGTGCTCCCTTTGGTCCCATAGGATCCGCGGGTCTGCAAGGAGCACCCATGGGACCCCCAGTGTGGGGGCTGGCACCTCCTGTGCCCATCCCACCACCACTGGGAAGGAATAAAAGCTTCTTGGTGGTACCTCAAGGGCGTCTGTGGTGTGGTACATGGCTTGCCCCAAAGGGACACCACCATGGGGACACCAAACATCACCACGGGGCCACCAACCACCACCATGGGACCCCCTCCACCCCTTCCAAAAGTACTCCATGGAGCAGTTGAACCCTTTATTGGCCACCAGGCAGGTGACAACGTTGCCCCCTCCAACCCCGTGGTGGCCCACATCAGCTGCCATCACCATGGTGACACCGGTGTCACCTCCTTGGGGCTGGAGATGCTCAGATCTTGCCTGGGAAGATCCCTTCTTCACGATACTCATCCCAAGTTGTCACCTGTAGGGTGGACATCATGGGGACATCATGGGGGCATCATGGGAGACATCATGGGGACATCAATGGGGACATCATGGGGGGCATCATGGGGACATCAATGGGGACATCATGGGGGGCATCATGGGGGACATCATGGGGACATCATGGGGGGCATCATGGGAGACATCATGGGGGACATCATAGAGAACAGCATAGGGGACATCATGGGGACATCATAGGGAACAGCATAGGGGACATCATGGGGACATCATGGGGGACATCATGGGGACATCATGGGGACATCAGAGGGTGGATGGTGGCAACAGGAAGGGCTTGGGGATGATGGGGGGACCCATAGATCATGGGGCCACCACAGGGGACCTAAGGAGCATGGGGAAGGCAACAGGAACCCAAGGACCATGGGGACATCATGGGGACACTGTGGGGACCTTGAGGGCCATGGGGACACCATGAGGAACCCATAGATCATGGGGACAGCCTGAGGGACATGGGGACACCATGGGGACACCACAGGGGACCTAAAGAGCATGGGGACACCAAGAGGAACCCATTGATCATGGGGACACCATGGGGAACCCAAGGAATATGGGGACAACCTGGAGACCCTGAAGGCCACGGGGACACCATGGGGACCTTGAGGGCCATGGTGTCACCATAGGGGACCTAAAGAGCATGGGGACACCAAGAGGAACCCACAGATCATGGGGATACCCTGGAGACCTCGATGGCCATAGGGACACTGTGGAAAAAACATGGGGAACCCAAGGAGCATGGGGACAACCTGGAAACCCTGAGGGCCATGGGGACACAAAAAGGAACCCAAGAAGAACCCAGCCACCTTGAGCCCTCCCCCTGAGCCCCACAGGGCCCCCTTGGTGCTCCCCACAAGCCCATGGACCTCCTGCTGACCCCCCCCCGGACCCCACTCACCCAAGAAGTAGGACACAGGGACTTGTAGACCCTGTAGTACCACTGGCAAGGAGCAGCGTCCACCCCTTTGGCTGCCATGGCCTTCTGGCACCGATGGAAATCTGTGGATGGGAAGAGCAGGAGGACATCAGGAAGGGGGTCTGGGATGATCCCACTGCTCCGGAGCCCCTTCCATGGGATCCTCGTGGCCCTACCGACGTAGTTCTGCCAACAGTTCTTGGTCTGGTTCTGGTTGGGGAAGCGGCTGTCGAACGGAGCCGTCTTGTAGCGCTTCAGCTTGGCCTGGATGTCCTCAGCCATGGCCTGGGGGAGCAATTAACAGCTGCTAATTAACCCCTGCTTCGTTAACAGGCCCCCCTTGGGGTCATTGATTGCCCTAATGGGGTCATTAACACTCTATTGGGGGGGTTAAAGCAAGAAGTGAGAAGGATGGAAGCAGAGATAATAAGAGGTGATTAATGGGATTAATTAATCCACAATGGGGTAATTAAGACCCCCGGCCTTAATTAAGAACCCTGGCATTAATTAACACCTCTTGTCCTTAATTAATACCCCCATGGGCTAATGAATGGTCATTAGGAGGAATTACCCCCCCCCCCCCCAGGTAGCATTAATGCCCCACTTTGTAATGAGGAAGGAAATGGTAATAGAAGGAAAGGCTTAATAAAGGGTAATTAATGGGTTAATTAACCCATAATAGACTAACTAATACCTTCTAGGGTCAATTAATACCCTCCCTGGGCTAATTAATAACCCCCTTGGGTAACTAATGGCCATTAGGAGTAATTGCCCCCCCCTTAATGACAAACAGAAGGCTAATATAGGGTAATTAATAGGTCAATTAAATCTATTAGCACTAATTAATACTCTCGGGGTTAATTACAACCCCGCAGTGCTCCCAGTAACCCCTTGGGGCCCTCCCAGTAACGGCCCCATTGCTCCCAGTTCATCCCAGCGCCCCCCCCCACTGTGCCCAATGGCGCTCCCATTGATCCCAATTGATCCCAGCGCCCCCCCCATTGCTCCCAATGGCGCTCCCATTGATCCCAACTGATCCCAACTGATCCCATTGATCCCACTGATCCCATTAATCCCAGTTTATCCCAGTTCATCCCAGTTTATCCCAGTTCATCCCAGTCCCTCACCCGTCTCCGCTCAAAGTCACTTTCAGGCCGGAACCACCGAGACGCAGCGGAAGCGCAGAGCGCCGCCGGAAGTGACGCGCCGCACTCGCCCCCATAGACTTAACCGGGAGGGAACCATAGAGACGGCAGCGGGCGGCGGAGGGAGCTGCCCCGTGGAGGAAGAGGGAGGGCTGAGCGACGCCATGGGTGGGAGGAGCCAGGAAGTGGATGGGCGGGACCCAAAATAGCACGGAATGGACCCAAACTAGCACGGAATGGCCCCCGAAACACCCCAGCGTGGCTTTAAACAAGCTCTTCGTGCCCCAAAGCGCCCCTTCAGCCCCCAGAATGGTCCCAGGAGCCCTCAGGACACCCGAAATGTCCGGTTATGTCCTAAATCCCCCCGAGAAACCCCCAAGATCCCCATTTCTGCCCCAAATACCATCAGAACCCCCCAAACCTCCAGATCGCCCTTAGAAATCCTAAAATCCCCATTTTTATACCCAAATCCCCCTCAGGACCCCATTTTTAGCCCCATATTCTCTCAAATCCCCAATTTCTATCCTCCAAACCCTTACTTCTACCCAGAATTTCCCATTTCTGTCCTCAAATCCCCCCAGAAACCCCCAAATTCCCCCTTTTCCACCCCAAAACCACCCCCCCGGGCGGGCACTAGGACCCAGCGGCGTGGGACGGCGCCTTGACGTCTAAAGGGGGCGGGGTTTAGAGGAGGCACTTCCGGTTCCGGTGTTGTCGGGGCGGCACGTGGGATGAGGCCAGGTCCGGACTGGGATCAACTGGGATCAACTGGGATCTAATGGGAGCCAATGGGGGGGAATGGGAGCCAATGGGATGGGAACGGGATATAATGGGAGCCAATGGGATGGGAATAGGGGGGAATGGGAGCTAATGGGAGCCAATGGGGGGGAATGGGAGCCAATGGGATGGGAATGGGGTGGGAATGGGATCTAATGGGAGCCAATGGGGGGGGAATGGGATGGGAATGGGGGGGAATAGGAGCCAATGGGATGGGAATGGGATCTAATGGGAGCCAATGGGATGGGAATTGGGGGGAATGGGATCTAATGGGAGCCAATGGGATGGGAATGGAAATGGGAATGGGGGGGAATGGGAGCCAATGGGATGGGAATGGGGTGGGAATGGGATCTAATGGGAGCCAATGGGGGGGGAATGGGGTGGGGATGGGGGGGAATGGGGTGGGGATGGGATGGGAATGAGGGGAATGGGATGGGAATGCGGTCTAAAGGGGGGGAATGGGGTGGGGATGGGAACTAATAGGAGACAATTGGGATGGGAGTGGGATGTGCCTGGGAGGACTGGGATGTGATGGGCTAGAACTGGGGGGGACTGAGATGAGCGGGGTGGGGGTGCCTGGGAGGGATGGGGGGGTTTGTTTGAACCAGACTGGGAATACCGGGAGCCTGCAGCCCCGTGCTCCCAGTTTAACACCGGTTCCACAGGGTTCAGCCCCCGGGGGGGGGGACGCGGCGGCTTCCGGGGGGGCCGAGGTAAGTGGGGACCTTCCCAGTGCTCCCAGTACGGAGCTGGGAGAGCCCCTGTTCCTCCCAGTCTATCCCAATCCCCTCCCAGTCCATCCCAATCCCATCCCAGTCCATCCCAATCCCATCCCAGTCCATCCCAATCCCATCCCAGTCTATCCCAGTCCATCCCAATCCATCCCAATCCTATCCCAGTCTATCCCAGTCCATCCCAATCCCCTCCCAGTCCATCCCAATCCCATCCCAGTCCATCCCAATCCCATCCCAGTCTATCCCAGTCCATCCCAATCCCCTCCCAGTCCATTCCATTCCCATCCCAGTCCATCCCAATCCCATCCCAGTCTATCCGAGTCCATCCCAATCCCCTCCCAGTGCATCCCAATCCCATCCCAGTCTATCCCAGTCCGTCCGAATCCCATCCCAGTCTATCCCAGTCCATCCCAATCCCCTCCCAGTCCATCCCAATCCCCTCCCAGTCTATCCCTGTCCATCCCCTCCCAGTCCATCCCATTGGATCCCATTGCTCTCTGCAGGAGGCGGCTTCCAGCCCCGGGGCGGGGCCCGAGGGGGCGGGGCTGGCCCCAGGGGGCGGGGCCGAGGCGGTGCAAGGGGCGGGACCAGAGGCGGGAGGGGCGGAGCCTCCCGCGGCGGCTTCCGGGGGGGCAAGAAAGTGACGGTGGAGCCACATCGGCACCCGGGTAATGGGATGGGAATGGGATGTAATGGGATAGAATGGGATGTAATGGGATAGACTCTGATAGAATGGGCTGGGATGGGAATGGGATGTAATGGGATAGACTGGGATGTAATGGGATAGACTGGGATGGGATAGAATGGGATAGTCTGGGTTGTAATGGGGTGGAATGGGATGGGATAGAATGGGATAGACTGGGTTGTGATGGGATAGACTGGGATGTAATGGGATAGAATGGGATGGGATTGGGATGGACTGGGATAGACTGGGAGGGCATTGGGATAGGGCAGGGATGGAATGTGATAGACAGGGGATTGGGATGGGGTTGGGATAGACAGGGATAGACTGGGAGGGCATTGGGATAGAGTGGGATGGGGTAGGGATGGAATGGGAGGGGATTAGGATGGACTGGGATAGACTGGGAGGGGATTGGGATGGACTGGGATAGACTGGGATGGGATTGGGATGGACTGGGATAAGTTGGGATGGACTGGGAGGCACTGGGGGTCACTTGTGGGTCCGTGTGTCCCCCCTCCAGGGGTGTTCATCTGCCGGGGCCGGGAGGACGCTCTGGTCACCCGCAACCTGGTGCCAGGAGAGTCGGTCTATGGGGAGAAGAGGATCTCAGTGGAGGTACTGGGATAGGCTGGGAGGGCACTGGGATAGACTGGGATAGGTGCTGGGGCAGCTGGGAGGGACTGGGAGAAGTGGAGGACACCGCAGGACCTTCTCCAGCCCCTCACTGGTGGCACTGGGAGTCTGTGGGGATCCAAAGCACATCCCGGGGCCGTGTCCGTATCCCAGGACGGGGACACCAAGGTGGAATACCGCGCCTGGAACCCCTTCCGCTCCAAGCTGGCCGCAGCCATCCTGGGCGGCATCGACCAGATCCACATCCAGCCCGGAGCCAAGGTCCTCTACCTGGGAGCAGCCTCCGGGACAACCGTGTCCCACGTCTCCGACATCGTGGGGCCGGTGAGCGCCGTGGGGGGGCGGGACATGGACCATGGGGAAGCTGAGGGCACCACTGGTGTCCTATGGGTGATGGCACCGTGTCCATAGGGATGCTGAGGGCACCACTGGTGTCCTATGGGTGATGGCACCGTGTCCATAGGGATGCTGAGGGCACCACTGGTGTCCTATGGGTGATGGCACCGTGTCCATAGGGATGCTGAGGACACCATTGGTGTCCTATGGGTGATGGCACGGTGTCCATAGGGATGCTGAGGGCACCATTGGTGTCCTATGGGTGATGGCACTGTGTCCATAGGGATGCTGAGGGCACCGCTGGTGTCCTATGGGTGATGGCACCGTGTCCATAGGGATGCTGAGGGCACCACTGGTGTCCTATGGGTGATGGCACCGTGTCCATAGGGATGCTGAGGGCACCACTGGTGTCCTATGGGTGATGGCACCGTGTCCATAGGGATGCTGAGCGCACCACTGGTGTCCTATGGGTGATGGCACCGTGTCCATAGGGATGCTGAGGGCACCACTGGTGTCCTATGGGTGATGGCACGGTGTCCATAGGGATGCTGAGGGCACCACTGGTGTCCTATGGGTGATGGCACCGTGTCCATAGGGATGCTGAGGGCACCACTGGTGTCCTATGGGTGATGGCACCGTGTCCATAGGGCTGCTGAGGGCACCATTGGTGTCCTATGGGTGATGGCACCGTGTCCATAGGGATGCTGAGGGCACCATTGGTGTCCTATGGGTGATGGCACCCTGTCCATAGGGATGCTGAGGGCACCACTGGTGTCCTATGGGTGATGGCACCGTGTCCATAGGGCTGCTGAGGGCACCATTGGTGTCCTATGGGTGATGGCACAGTGTCCATAGGGATGCTGAGGGCACCATTGATGTCCTATGGGTGATGGCACCGTGTCCATAGGGCTGCTGAGGGCACCATTGGTGTCCTATGGGTGATGGCACCGTGTCCATAGGGATGCTGGGGGCACCACTGGTGTCCTATGGGTGATGGCACCGTGTCCATAGGGATGCTGAGGGCACCATTGATGTCCTATGGGTGATGGGACCGTGTCCATAGGGATGCTGAGGGCAGCATTGGTGTCCTATGGGTGATGGCACCGTGTCCAAAGGGATGCTGAGGGCACCACTGGTGTCCTATGGGTGGTGGCACCGTGTCCAAAGGGATGCTGAGGGCACCACTGGTGTCCTATGGGTGATGGCACCGTGTCCATAGGGATGCTGAGGGCCCCATTGATGCCAGCACCCATGGGTGTCCTCCTTGTCCCCAGGAGGGCCTGGTTTACGCTGTGGAATTCTCCCATCGCTCCGGTCGGGATCTCATCAACGTGGCCAAGAAAAGGACCAACGTTATCCCGGTCATCGAGGATGCTCGGCATCCCCATAAGTACCGCATGCTGATTGGTGCGTCGGTTCCCATGGCGACGTCCTGGGATGCTCCGGGTTTCAAGGGGATTTGGAGGCTCCCTTTGGGTTCTGTGGGGCCCGTGTCCCATTGTCCGTGCCTGTACCCATAGGCATGGTGGACGTCATCTTCGCGGACGTGGCGCAGCCGGACCAGACGCGCATCGTGGCGCTGAACGCACAGCACTTCCTGCGCCGCGGCGGCCACTTCCTCATCTCCATCAAGGTAACACCACTACAGACCAGTACCAAGCACTGAGAACCAGCACTGAGCAGTAACGGGGCAATAGACAGCAGTAAGGGGCCACTGGGAAGACACAAGGACCAGTAATAGGGCACTGGGAACCAGTCACTATCTACTGGGAACCGGTAAGGACCATTAATGGGATACTGAGAACCAGTAATGGTGCATAGGAACCAGTAACAGGGCACTGGGAACCTTTAACAGGCTAATGGGAACCTGTAAGGAGCAGTAATGGGACACTGGGAACCAGTAAGACCTATTAATGAGACACTGGGGACCA